CTGCCGGCTCCCCCTGTTTGCTGCCCATACTGCATGCATTGCTGTATATGCACTTCAGCTGGGCTACTGACTTCATCTCCATCATAGACACGCCACCCCCAGGCTCATCTTTACTGAGCCTGGCCTCATCCCCTTCCCCCTCTGATCCTAGTTTTAAGATCTCTCAATCAGCCCTGATAATTCCTGGGCCATAATCCTTTTCCTGCTCAATGTCAGATGTATCCCATCTGACATGCACAGGCCTGGTGTTGTGTAAGGCACCCCATGGTCAAACAACCCAAAGTTCTACCTGTGACACCAGCCCTGTAGCCATGTTTATCAGTCTAGCCCTCCTATTCCTTTTGGTACTTTCCCCTAATACTGAAGGAATTGAGGAAAATACAATCTATGCCTCAACTCCTTTAAGTAAATGCCCCAGAGCTCTGAAGTCTCTTTTGACTGCTCTAGGACTTCTTTCTTCAATATTGTCCCCACCCACCTGGAACACTAATAAGGGGTAGTAATCAGAGGGCTGCACCAAGTCAGGAAGCCTCCTGGTTATATCCCTTACCAGGCCCCAGGGAGGCAGCAGACTTCCCTGTGGGTTGGGCCTGGTCTTCAGCACAAAACTAAAAGAGGCAAGAGAAAGGCAAATACATTTCTCTTTCTGAAAATATCAATTTGTGTCACAGTTTACCTCTCAGAAAATAAACATGAATTTTTTCTCGGACACTTGAGAAAATTTTGTGTGCTCCAAAAAGCATTAAAGCATATTCCAGCCATTGCAGAAGGCACTGTATTGGACAAGGCCACATATTCTTACCTGCTAGAGCAACCAGGTGAGGTAGGCAAAACCTATTTGCCAATGCGATTAACTCAAGTGTGTCCAGTTCCTGACTGGAGGAAAGTTGCTTGGTATACAAGTAATCTAAAACTGCTTGCATGGAAGTCTTGTTTATGTTGGGAAGAACTACCTGGAAAAGATATTTAAGAAGAGAATCTCTAATAATTAAAGGATTTTCATATAGAGGCCATATTTCACTTTGCTGGACTCTCTCTTTTTCTCTTCAAGTTATTTTAGAAATGCAGGGAAAACACTTTTCAAAACAGAATTTTCCCATTAGAGTTCAAGAAGCTGCCCCAACAGGTAAACATACCTCCAGAGCCAGATCCTTTGTCAGCATATATACAAGCAACTCGGTACCAAGTTGCTGGAATTGGATCCACATCAAACAGGGAATCTGTTCAATGCCTTCTAGTCTGCAAATGGATAGCTATGTGGGATATATAAAAGTCACTGAGCACTTCCCATGCCAAACCTCTCTTGGCAAACTTCTCCAAGAATGTAATCTATCTGCTCCTGGCAAGGGATATTCTGGGGATTCCAAGAATAATAGCAAACAAAAGATAACAGTGAAACCACCCCTCTCAGTCTGTTTATAAATAACCAAGTTATCAAAGTAAATGATGGTTGGGATGGGACTGAGAACTGAAGAAGTGAGGGGAAAAAAAAGCAAACCATTTCTGCCACACACATCTAGTTAGTGTAACCAGTGTGTAATGAAGCTACCAAGCTGTCTAATTTCTTGCCAGCACAACCCTAACTTCATTTCATGGCAGGGAGGCCTAGAAGAAGAGGAAGAACAGTTAGAAAGACCCACTGTAACCTATCACAGTAGGATCTCAACTATAGTTTGCACACACAACCACTCCTGCAAGGGTGTATCACTGATTCTTGCAGGGCTCAAGGCTGACTCCAATACCCAAGCTAGCTGATCCCATTAATCAGCAATTTGTAACATATATCTTCATAGCTCAAGAAAGAGATACTGGCACTGAAGAGTGCACTGTGGTATTCTGAGGAAACTGCAGTAAAAACGGCACAGCCAAAAAATAATAATAGAATTATGATGAGGACTTAAATGTACATGCAACTTAATCTGGCTGACTGGAAGCGAAGCAGTCAGCACATACTTCCTGCTAGAAGGGGTTAATCACAGAACTTAAGGGTTGGAATGGACCTTACAGATCATCTAGTCCCAACCCCTGCCCTGGGCAGGGACACCTCCTCACTAGATCAGGTTGCTCAAGGCTCATCCAGCCTGGCCTTGAACACTGCCAGGGTTGGGGCAGCCACCACATCCCTGGGAAACCTGGGACAGTGTCTCACCACCCTCACAGGAAAAAGCTTTTTTCTAATATCCAACCTAAACTTCCCCTCCTTCAGTTTGAACCCATTACCCCTTGTCCTATCACTGCAGTTCCTAACACAGAGTCCCTCTCCAGCTCCTTGTAGGCTCTTCAGAGATTGAAAAGTTGCTCTGAGGTCTCCACACAGTCTTCTCTTCTCCAGGCTGAACAGCTCCAACTTTCTCAGCCTGTCTTCATAATCTTCACGTAGCTGGTTATTAACTTTTAGGGATTTGTGAATTGGTTTTTTCAGCCCCACCTGCGTTAGCAGGATCCTGGGTTAAGAGTCAGTGCTGGGCCCAGTTCTCTTT